TGACCTCGGGCAGAACTTCACACAAACTGGCAGCGGACCAAGTCACAATTATAGTTGGACGTTTCAACCTCTTTCAATAATTAATAGAACAAGTAAACACAAGAATCAGCAAGGATAAAGAAGGATGCGGGACTATCAACAAACGAGGTCTAACTGGTATTTATAGAACATTACACCCAGCCCCTGCAGAATACACATTCTTTTCAAGCACACATGGGACACGCACCACCATCCACCATTTGGCTGGGCCGTAACATGAGTCTTACAACATTTTGAAGAACTGAAATTTAAAAAACGACCATAGGAAGTTTTCGGCCTCGACCTAAAACCCAGGCCAAGACAGACACACTTCCTCATTGTCTTCCTTTCCCAGAGGGTGAACGTTCCTAGTTCCTTCTCTTACTGAGCGTGGTCCTTCAGATGTCTGCTGGTTTCCTCCCCCGAGGTCCCAGTTCCAAGTCCACCCCCCTCGTAGAAAATCCTCGTCTTTTGTCTCCCGTAGCCACGAAACACGAATTCTCGTTCTTACAGAGATTGGCCCATGTCCACAGGTCAACCATGACTTTCACGCCTTCTCACAGTTCTGGTTTTCGGCTCCCTTTTCATTTCTTGGCCTTTACGGGTTTCCCTTTGTATCCTTCCCAGGGGTCCTCAAACTTTTTAAACAGGGGGCCAGTTCACTGTCTCTCAGACCGTTGGAGGGCCGGACTATAGTTTAAAAAAAAAACAACTATGAACAAATTCCTATGCACACTGCACATCTCTTATCTTGAAGTAAAAAAACAAAACGGGAACAAATACAATATTTGTATTTGCATGTGGCCCGCGGGCCGTAGTTTGAGGACCCCTGCTTCACACTCAGCCATCTTTTCGAATATGTTCGTGATAGTCTGTTTGGCATGCTTGGGGTTTTGTGGCCAGAGGGCTCTCAGATGCGCCAGTTTCCATGCTTCTGGAACCTGAAGCCGCCGGCCATGTAATTCTTTAGTTACTTAGGGGTTCAGGTTACGTTGGCCGAATCAGAAGTCCCCACATTTAGAGCCAGATGGCCGTGGGCTTGCATTCCAGCGCTGGGACTCACAGTTACGTAACCCTGAGCAGTGAGGACACCTTTCTGAGCCTTCGTTTCTACATGGGTTTCTACATAATCCTGAGTTTTCTAGTTGTAAAGACGATCTCTATTCTAATACAACGCAAGGCAGACGCGGTCAGGGAAAGATAACATTGTCCTTATTCATCCATTCATCAAATACTGAGCGTTTACTATGTGTCTGGAGCATGTAAATGCTAGGAATAACAGACAGTGCAGATATAAACAAACCGTTTCACATGCATGTAAAAGCAATCGCAAGGAAAGGCCATACGATTAAGAATGTCTGCAGGGACTGGCTGGGCTTTTGACATTAGGTGATGGGGGAGTCCTATTAGATTTAAAATCGGAATGAAGTCAAACATTTAAAAATTAGATTAGATGGTTGCACAATCCTCTGAATATGCTATATATATATATTTTAAAAAGGCACTGAATTATACGGTGTGGGAATCACATCTCAATGTAGCTTTTATTTGAAGTCTGAATGAAGAAGAGAGAGGCAGGTGAAAATCTTTGGGAAAGAATATTCCAGAGGGAACATCAGGACAAAGACCCTGAGGCTGGAAGGGCTGAAGTCAGTTGGAGGAAAAGAAAGACGGGGCGGAGGGAGTTTAATGGGGGAGGAGATGGAGATGGTTGAGGTCTTGTTTGCATCTATGACAGTGGGAAGGGGACAGTTCCTGTGTCTGGGAGCCATGTGTCTGCACTGCTCTGCCTCATGCAGAGAGCAGACCACGCATCTTCTAAACCAGCGGTTCTCAACCTGTGGGTCGCGACCCCTTTGGGGGTCGAACGACCCTTTCACAGGGGTCGCCTAAGACCATCGGAAAACACATATATAATTACATATTGTTTTTGTGATTAATCACTATGCTTTAATTATGTTCAATTTGTAACAATGAAACTGGGGGTCACCACCAATGAGGAGCTGTATTAAAGGGTCGCGGCATTAGGAAGGTTGAGAACCACTGTTCTAAACGAAGGCGGTCTCTTTTCTTTTTTCTTTTAATTAGACAAATGTATATTGGCACTTGTGTCAGTTGCTACAGCTATCACAAATATGTTTATATTATCTACAAAAGACACAAATGATTTTCCGTGTGTGTGTTTTATTCAGTGGTAGCAGCAACTGTCATAGCTGCCAAGTAAAACATTCTTTAGACACTAAATAATCTTTAGACGCTGTCATTGTAGACAAGAATAAAATCTGGACACCATTAGCAGACACAATATGACCTTCCTTTGAGCACAGTTGCTAATATGGAACCCTCACCTACACACCCAATACTAAAGCAAAGCTAACCTGTTCAAGATTCTGGATCGTGGAGCACATTCTGAAACAAAAACAGTCCGACAACTAAGGAGTCAGTGACCGGCCGGTTAACAAAGATACCCAATGACTGAACGTCTCACACAGAATGGAAGTCCACATCTGCAGAGCACTCATCATATAACCACTTCCAGTTACTCTATTGTCCTTTAAAGGAGAATATTCTGATGCCGGGATGAAGGCCTAAAGTAGCATTTCCAGTTTCCTTCCTCCCTCCCTCCCCTTAATTTTGAGGCGCTCTCTTTTACATACCCATGGTGCCAGCTCTCACGCTTGGCCGCCAGAACTGACAGCAGTGGTAGAGAATGAAACGCATTGTGTAACACTAAACGTGGTCTAGATGTATGTAGGGTGCCACTGTCCCTCAATGGGACTCTCCTGATTGAAATCTGGCTTCTAGGCCTCAGGATCTATTTATTTCAGAGAGGACCCTGTTTTTCTCAAACTATTACATAAAACGACAGTGCATGGAAGTGATTTCATGAAACGCAATTCCTTACTATACATCCCACGCGGAGCAAGGCCTCTTTAAACGAAGTTTTGGTTAAGATGGCACAAAAGTAGAGGCCGAGTCTGAACAGACCGAGGATCATGGCTTGGGTTCCTGCACACCCCCCACCAGTCCAAAGTCAACTTCTTTATGAACACCAGCTACTGCACCCTTGGCTAAGATGGGAGTTTTTTCATTAGAGTAAAATCATGTCTGACATTTCATAAAGCTTCAATGCAAACAAAAAGGATTAATCACATTCCTAAATATGCAAGCAAGGTCAAACCACAATATTAAAAGGGCCTATTACGTTTGAGACAAAAGAGCAAAACCAGAGTTTTTTTAATGGCCATGATTTTAGGTAGCAGTTCTGTTTGTTCATAATAAAATAGGAATATTACATTGGCAGAAGTGGAATTAAAGGGCATACAATATTATTTTAAAACAGGCAGACAATGGGATCACTTCCAGGAGCCTCATAGAAAGCTTTTGATTTTCAGTGATGCTTTTCCACGACCCGTAGAATTAACACGTGGCTTTTCTATGATAAAGAACAGTCACGGTACCTGAGTATTACATACATTCAGTTGCGGATGACAAACACTATTGGAAACCTAGACTTTTCTAGTTACTTAAGCAATTGTTTCCAGTTCATTCAGTGCTTCTTGTCTAAGTAGCTTTAAGATACATAAAAAGCCAACAATTATATATATATATATACTCTGACAAAGTTTCTAGTAAGCAATTATTCAAATACACATATACTCAATTAAATTAGAACACGTAAGTGCTTAATATGTAGAACTTATGTTTAAAGTCATGACTCTTGATTAAATATAAATGCCAACACCTCTCTCATGAGGCTTTCAACTTCAAAAACGGCCTTCCTCACACACTGGCTCGGGGGTGACGCACCCTGATATTCAGAAACATAAGCAAAACAAAGCGTTTAAGTGCAGAGACTAAATTCAGAATCTGAACCAACTATTTTTATGCATTGTATTAAAAAATTGCTTCTTTGTTCAAAATTTCCAACATAAACCATATTGACAACATGTGTACATGCATGACAACCAATAAAAATGGCACGAGAGGCAAATCGTTGGTTAACCTACAGGATACGCGTCGCTGTCAGACGCCTGCCTGGGGGCTGCATGTGGGGTTGCTGGGTTTTTGGAGTCCCTAGCTTTTGGGGAGGCCTTACGACCTTTTGTGTTTCCCTGAACTATAGATTCCTCAGACAAGTTCGAAAACTCGAGCGGGCATATGACAAAATAAACCTCCCACCTGGATGGTAACATTATGAATTCTAATATCATATCAGTAGAGGAAATCGGATTCATTTACTGGGCAAGAGCTGCATTCTACGCTGTCCGGCTCAAATTAAACTAAACTCTGTGGCACACAATTCATTTTCCCATTAGGCAATCGATGTTCCCTTCAATCAGGCAATTCCCACTTAGCCTGTGGCCATGGCTGCTGCCTGTGAAAACAAAGTTCTACATCAGTAGGTCGTGCAAAAAAAGGGTCTGATTTCCCTCCGCAGGTGGTTCAGGGGTGCAGGCGACAGAGAACAGGGATTTGAAGAGTCTCATCTAATTAAGAGAGTTCTCCTTTCTAATCCAACCATAGTCACTGATCCAAGAAACTGGAAATGGGTGTGGGGGGGGGGAGGGAGTGATCTGTAAAACCCTGCACTGTTCCTCAGACTCTTCATGCTGATTTCCAGAGTGGAAAGGGACTAGAGATGACAAAATAGCACTTATTTTTCCTTAGAAAACTCTTTACTGTGTTGATGGATACGCTCCAGGAAGGGAACGCACTTCATTCATTTGGATGTGCAATCTCAACGGGAGAATCTGCAAAAACACGCTTCTCACCAGTAAACCAATCGGTACAGGACAGTATGACAGGCAAAAACATATTCCTTGACCTACACGTGTGAATGGAAGCATCTTAATAAAATCTATCATTTTTATAAAAAACCTTTCCATTTAAAAATTTTAAAAAATTTAATCCTCACCCAAAGATATGTTTTTAGTGATTTGAGAGATAGAAAGGGAGAGAAATATTGATGTGAGAGAGAAACATAGATCGGTTGCCCACCCCTGCACATGCCCCAACCCAGGATGGAACCCACAACCTAGGTATGTGCCCTGAAACCTTTTGGTGCATGGGAGGATGGTCAGCCAACGGAGCCACCCAGCCAGGACAGAGTTTTCCAGTGTATACATCGCCATGACTCCACAAATCATATTTACAACACGACTGATCAACGCCGCCCTGATCTCGGGGGAAAACCGCTCCGTCCTCCTTCCTGGGATGCCCGCTCTCAGTCGTCTTTCTTGTCTGAGGGGCTCTCCTCGCGGCTCTCGGGACTGACTTTATTACTGGCCGTGGCGGGCGCTGCGGGGCCCTCCTCCGGTAAGGAGAACACGTGGCCGGCCTGCAGTTCCAAGTACGTCGTAAAGATCCTCGCATATTCCGGGTGCTTCAGGGCAAAGCTTTTAAATTCCTCTAGAAGAAGGGAGGAAACCAGATCCAGTTCAATGGAGGCGAAGATTCTTTTGACATATGACTTTAATAAGATAATTACTTCCAACTCCTATTACTCAACCCTCATAAATGTGGACAACGGCTTTGGAAGACAGCGTTTCCATGACGTAGTGAGGTTGAAAGATACGCATGCCCTGGGACCCATTAATTCTAGCCCCAGCGTGTAGAGAACCTAGAGAAATTGATGCCTAGTGTGTCCCGGGAGACATGGATGAGAATTCCGTGGCAACGTGGACAGAGCGCACGTGTCTGTCAACAGCAGCAATGGCTAAGTACATGTTGCCGTATTCGTGGAACAGGATGCTGTAAAGCGATGAAAATGAAGGGACAGCCGTGGTGCCCAATGCAGATGCAACTTAAAGCCTCTGTGCTGAACGACACAAGCCAGATACAAATGAACACCACTTGTCTGAGTCTGTTATATGAATTCCTAAAACTCAGGCCAAACGGAAATGGAGGAGGGTTTATGGAGCTTGTTTAGCAAAGGGAACCTGGTCTTTGAATCAGCTTGCTAGGTGGGTCTATAAACAAGGGATTTTAGCCCAATGTCCTATTTCTATCCATTGATTTAATTTTTAATCCTATGATAACCAGGAGCCTGCTTCACAGCACATGGGACGACCCAAGAACTCTTGAAGATGAAACCGGTCTTGGTGATGAGGAAGTTGCCAGACTGAGCCCGACTCATTCTTTGTAACCGCAACGGTGTTTGCAGTCACAGACTACAGTGGGGCCTTGACTTACGAGTGTCCCGACTAACGAGTTTTTCGAGATACGAGCCGTCTCTCGGCCGATTTTTTGCTTTGAGTTGCGAGCTAAAATTCGGGTTACGAGCCAGCTCCAGATACCCCACCGCTAGTTGGCGCAGCGAACGTCACAGTGATCGCCACAACATCAGCCCAGCATCACGTGTCTCGCTCGTTCACAACTGATTTGACATACGAGTAATTGGAGTTACGAGCTCCGTCACGGAACGAATTAAACTCGTAAGTCAAGGCCCCACTGTATTTTATATTCCAGATCAGGCAAGCTATGCAGTGTTCCTCTGAACACCCCAAACACAGGTTCCTCTGCATCGGTCTGCGTCAATGACGGAGACACGGAGGACTTAGGTGACTTCTAAGATAAGTGAACTCTGATTTAAGACTCAGGCTC